GAGTAGCAATTTTGATTCCTTGTAACTGAGGTTTATTTCATCATATATCCTAGATCTTGAGAGAGCGGTTTACTTTTTTTAAAATGTTTTCCTGATTAGAATTCTGAGTCACATTTTCTCTCCTTACAGTAGCGCACTACTGTCTTCATGAAAAAGAAAATTCAGTCTTGACTCGCAAGCAAAAATGTAAGGAGTTTTCTCAGAATAGCAAAATGGTTGGGCACATGCCAAGCGGTACTACTTGGCAGCAGGAACTCTGTCACGTACAAACAGTGCTTTTAAAATGCCCAAAACACCTGCCTTGGCCGAAGCCCCAAGTGCACTAAATGCCCGTGGTTTCCCAGGCAGTATAAAATTTACTCTTATCATATGTTATACTACAACCGTTATAATGAGTTTCGCATTCATATCAGACTGAATTGGATTAGGTGGCAGTCTTTGGTTGTGTTGGTATCACAAGCGTCACTCAGACGAGAGCCTTGCTGCTGCAGGCACCTCGCAAACACAGCAAGAGACGTTTCCTGCTCCCTACGAGCATGTGCCCCCAGGACACTGCAGGGCAAAACTGAGAGCATTCTCAAAATGAGATCTGAGCAGTTTCTTTCATTACACTTCATTTGGATCACAAGCGTCACTCAGACGAGAGCCTTGCTGCTGCAGGCACCTCGCAAACACAGCAAGAGACATTTCCTGCTCCCTACGAGCATGTGCCCCCAGGACACTGCAGGGCAAAACTGAGAGCATTCTCAAACGAGATCTGAGCAGTTTCATTTGGTTGCTTCACCAGTAACCTCATTTTGCCTCTCAAAGATATCGGTGTATTCAAAATACTTCAGTAAAAAGCACAGGAGTTGCATGTCTGGATTGCTCAAACTTAGCTGGGAAATACCTCGTCGCGTACTGACAAAGACGACCTGGGAGTGAACGAGAAAACTCCAGCATGGAAATTTAGCAAGGTTCAGCATAAGGGAGCTCTGCTTGCAGAGCAGGGTAGCAGCAAATACAATGAATCCTTAAATTACTTCCTTGTCTCCACTTAGCTCCTTGCAGAGGGATGCTGTTCCTGGTAGCTAAAAGCATGCATCATTCCCATGCCCAAGCGCTGCATGTGGTTGCTAGGTGGCAATGCAGTTTTAGATCATTATGTTACTATCCCAGAGGGCTGCAAATAATCTGTGTGCAAGAGCTGCTCATTAAGTAGTAGTTCATGATGTTTCAGTGTCTGTAGGATGGAAGTCTTCCTCCCTTGATCTTTCTCCAACACATGCTTCTGAATTCTTAAAAAATACTTGGGAGGAGATTTTAAGTGCTGTAGTCCATGAAACTGCTTCTGGTATTATTTGACTTACACAACCAGTGTATTGAGGAGATGGAGAATTAATCAGCAGGTATTATGAGCGCCTATTCTTTCCCTGGTACCTGCAGGGACCACCTAAAGCCCTACAGGAATATTTCATACCAAGATCCAGTGAATGACAGCAGCGGCTTCATTCTCTGACCTTAGCTGAAGCAGACCAGAAACATCTGATATTCATATTTGAACAGCAGATCAGAAAGTAGGAAGCTCAAAGAAGCCCACCCAGCTCATATGCCTGGTAGTTCTGAATCAATAACAAAGTGGATCTTCCGAACACGTTTTGTAGGACACGTATTAGCACTGACCTCAGCGTTATCCTGCAAAACCCCCAGGAATAATCAGGAAATGAAATTGGGAGCCACATCTGACCCACAGCAGCACCTTATCAAAATTCATCATGAACGATGAGTCTTCAATGCAACGAAGACTAATACTTAAGGGAACAACCTTGCTCTGAAACAGTCAGGGGCACATGGGTTTTCAGGGCAAAGGTCCCATATATCCTCCTAGAACTCTGTTAACTCAAACTTCCCCATCCAACTCAAAGATATATATGCTTGATGACAGTCAATCTAACTTTGGGTTTTAAAATCAGGCTGAGGAATGCAACTGTTTAAGGACTGAAATCCTGTCCTTTGGAACAAAGCAGAGTTGTCTAGTAACATCCAAGATGCTGTAAGAAATAATGAGGTGGAGCTAGTACAATCAGATCAGCTCTGTGGCTGACTTGAAGTTTGGAAAATGGGAAAAAGGTTAGCATCTGTGGTCTGACGGACTTCCAAAATAAACTACATCAGCAGCTCACGTTACATGAAATGTACCTACACTATTAGGTTTCATAGAGTTGCCTTATACCAAAAATACTATTTTCAGGAATGATTATACATTTGGGAATACATATGGGGAAAATACGACCATTATTGTGTAAAAAACAAACCCCCAACATTTATTTGTCACAATACATTTTCAAGTACATGCAGAAGGTATTTACATTTCTCTTTAAGGCAAACAGAAATTGGGTTCTTATTCCTGAGTTGCTTAGCACCAGTAGAAATAGCAAATAAAAACGTAGGAAATGTTGTCTCTCCCTTTGAAGCAGCAGCTGCCTCCCATGCAAAATATTTCTGCTTTCACCTTGCATTTCTTTTAATGAGCTATTTATACTAATAATCTCTATTGCTGTTTGAAGCCATTTCTGCAGATTTCAATCTCTTTGCAGAAACTTCTTGCCAAGACGTGACAAACTTTCCACATTTTGTTATTTTACCTTATATAGACTGTTTGCTGACTAGACAGCACAGCAGTACTTCTGTCTTTGCTGGCACATGCATCAAGGTCTTCGGTTACGGTAAGAGTTCTGTATTCCTCCAGTATCTAGAAAAACTAACATTATCTTCCTCTGGCTTTCTCATATGGGCTAGCTGCTTCTCCAATACTAGACTAAGATTAAGAGAGGCAAAAGTTCACCTCAGCCAGTGGAGAATTTTAGGGCTTGACTTCACTAAAGCCAAAGGTGGGGGGAAATGAAAATGCCCATTGAAGCGTTGGCAGTCATGAAGAAAATGCAAAGCAGTTTTTCAATGAAGAAAAAAAAAAACCTCCCTCGAAGTCTGACTAACATTTGAGCCACCTGCATTATCTCAAAACTTTAGATCTTTGCTAGAATTTAGGATGTTGAAATTCAATTTAAAATATACAGGGAGAATTTTCAAAAAAGTTTTTGACATTTTCCATTTCCCATTGACTGGCTCTATCAGTCTCACTAAATCCAATAGGCACTTTTCTCCCATGACTTCTAAGAGGACCACAGAGCATGATCCTAAGAAAAAACATCTATTCTGTAAAAAATAAAGTTCCCATTTAACGTAAAAGTGTAGTCCAAGCAGAAAGTCGATAGTGCAAAATGGGGTATAACTCTGTGCCTTCCTTGGTGAGCTGTAGTGTAGAAAAATGTTCTGTTTCAAATTAAATTCTCTGGCTTTTTTTATGCCTTCCTGAAACCGTAATTTTTAACAACTTGTCAAATACATCAATAATTCAAGGTTTCTGTTACTATTTAGTCTCTCTAGGTGCCCCTCTCAACTAATCAATGCTCATCACAAACAATTTTTAAACAAATGCTAATAATCACAGGTCTTTAACTTAAACATTCATTGAAGGAAATAACAACTGTGCCTTTACTAAACTTCTGGTTTAAATCGGTTATTAAAGCAAAAATACCCCAAGTAATTTCTTCTTTTCCCATTATTACCTGCTAAGAGCAAATGTCTTCCTTCACAACTGTTTCATTTAGCAGCAAAACACAATAGCATATGGCATTGGGAATAATCCACATCCAAACAGTCAATTGTAAAGACACCACCTTTAACAAGGTAAAGCGATTCTCACAAAGAAATTCTTCACCAAAGGGTTGCCAATTTCTTTTTCCTACCTCTGAGAGATTATTACAAACTAAGCACCGAGGACAATACAGGAAGAGGACAGTAAGATGAACTCATGAAGTGTCTAACCAATCTATCCCATCAGGAAGCTGACTCCTGGTAAGGCACCTCTCAACATAAGGTCTGAGGGTTTTTCCACGTAAGATGAGTTCAACAGGCTAAAAAAAAGGAATGGTTGTTATTCTGCACCTGGCAACACCTCTGTACACTGTGAACAAAACAGCTTGCTGCAGGTATTGCCAATGAACAGCTGCAGTGTAGCATTTTTATCCTCATTTCATTTTCTGTAATGTGACCCGCGTGCAGCTTTATTTCTAAAATCAGCATGTCCTCTGAGAAGATGTACTTTCTCAATGATCATTTCAATACTAAGATGCTAGAGAGCTTACAAAATTTTAGAAAGTTTTAAGAATGTCTCCCCAGAAAACCCCGATCCCTAGGCTATTACACAAAGAGTCTGCACCATATTTAGAGGAAAATATTGTACCTCTTGACAGTGATTGTTCATCCAGTGACTGCTCACCTCGTGTGTTTGTGAAATCTTGTCTTGCTATGCTGGTTACTTTGGAAAAAATCTAGGACATCGACACTTCTCTGCTGCTTGCCTCTTGCCCAGATCTGTCAGAACTGGCTGGAACTCAGGTTCTCCTCCACTCACGTACGACAGGGGACATATAGACATTCATTTGGGCTGTGTCTCCATTACCTGCTGCACTAGCTGAGGTAGCAGAAGCTGATTAGCCTCCTTGGGCATCTTACCAAAGGAAATATTCCAGAGGAAGTCACATGAGTACTTCTTGCATTCAAGATAGTTCAGTGGCCTTGGAGAGCAGTCATGGCACATCTCTGACATACTCTGTGTCTCAGCATGCTTGGGGTGGTAACTTGTACTCTTCTGATCTCTGAGCTGAAGAATTAGTCACACCTGCTCTTTTGAGGATGGCACCAGGTTATCACAGTCTGAATCCTTTCATGCAGAAGGAAGAAGTTGTAGGCAGGAATACGTTTCTGGATGGCTCTGAAATGCTACTCCCAAAGGCACCAACTTCCACATGCAGGGTAAAAGACATTGCTCTTTCTTACAGTGCAGATGAAACAGATTACATCCAGTTTATTTATAAAAGTTTTATACACCTGAAACATCACAAACATTTACAACTTTCCTGCTTTCTTCCAAGTTTTGAAAAGACCAAGTCATGCAATTACACCGCTGTCTCCTTTGACTCTGACGTTTGCGGTGGCTTGAAGTTCAGTATCTCTTTATATGTAATCCCTGGAAAACAAAAGAATAAACAGAGTGTTGCTGGTCTAATCAGAAAAGGAGCTGCATGGACACGAGCAAGGTGCAACACCCAGCACGGTTAGGCTCTGATCTAGGTCAGGAAGAGAGAGACCTCTTCAGGCAAAAAAAGAGAGAAAGAGTACAAAACGTAAGGGAATCAAGGATCAATTTTTTACCATTTCAGATTTGAAGTAGCCCAATATTGAAATGTTATAGGTGCTTTCAAAGGGATGTAAGCATTGACTTTACAGTATAATGGGCAATATCATCAGAAAGAGCTACTGAGCAAATCAGCTTTAAAAGTCCTCCTTAAAAGCCACAAAACAAACCTCTGACATTAGATGAAAACTAGATTCAGACTTAAATCTCTGCTGACATATAGATCTTAAAATTAAGGCCAGCAACCATTGCAGTCCTGTAGAGTCAACAGTTGAGAAATCTGTTCACCTGTCCTGTCCACTGGAATGAACATGTTACAGAAATAATTTCTTTCCTGTGTTGCAGAAGATGGGAGAACAGACAGAAGAAGAAGGAGAATGTTGTTAGGAGGCAGAGAAGAAACCTTTTGGGATTGTTCCAGGAGGACTTTATAAGAGGAACACTGGCTTATCAACAGCATTTCTCTATCTTAATGCTATTTACTCCATTCCATCAAAAGCAGAGAAAGTAATTTGTAAAGGGGAATACTCCTATTTCTGGATGGCCTTTCTATCTGGTTATTTTTGAAAACATCACAAAACTAAACTCACGCTTCCACTCATCTAGCGGAAGATCCATGTTATCAAATGTGTCGTCATATTTCTCAGCTTCAATTTCTTCCTCAGGATCGTGAATTGGTTCAAAGTAAGGATGCATCAAAGCCTCAGCTGCTGTGACTCTCTTCTCTGCATCCAGCACCAGCATCTTCTCCAAAAGGTTTACAGCTATTGCACAGAAAACAAACAGTGTATTCAAGTCACACCACTGATTCCAGCTTGTACACAGTAACGTTGCCCTGGAGATATTTTAAACAAATACACATAATTACAAAGCAGAATCATTGGGTGTTCATTCTATAGCCAGTGGGGCCCATCTGCATGACAAAATAGCATTGTGAGCAAGCTGGGACGTGTACAAAGCCTGATGCAACGCAGAGGTGCTCCCTTGCTTCTGTATGCAATACAGCCACATCACCTCAGCTAATGACTTCTCAGCTTCTGGCTGCAGGACCACAGTGCCTGGGGCTTTCCCAGGTGTTGCCATCACTGCCACCGTATTGTGGTTCTAAGGTACATCATAACCTGACAGCAGCAGTATGAACAGGTGGGTGTAGAGCTAATGGTAATTGCTCTGTATGTGACCAAATCCAAGCCCAAGTACACTTTGAAGTCTACTAAGACAAGTCAGTTGTCCATGCTCAGAATCTCAGCGCAAACACATCTGCTATGTGTTTTTGACCTCAGCCAAAACAATCCATGAAAATCTTTTACATTCCTCTCCAGTGGATTTTGGATCAGGTTCACTGTTAGACTGTCAAAATGGGCTAGTGTAAACAGGTATGATGAATGATTTGTTTATTCTCTGTTTTTCTATATGAAAGAATGTTCCTGGGTTGGGTGGAGCAGCTGAAACGAAGAAGAGGCAGCACTGTGGGATGGGATGCTGCAACTCCTGCTTGCCACGTTGTGGATTCTCTCCAACCTTCTCTCCCAGACCATGAGCAATTGTTCTCTACGTAAGGAGCAGCCAGATGGCCACAGAGGTGATAGGCAGAAACGTCCTAAAAACTAAATGGAAATGTGTAGTTTGTTGTAGCTGAGGTGGTCAGTGAGCTAACCATGCAGTCAGGGTAAGAGCTGCTTATTAATCATGTTTATTTCTACTATATTTGAACATATAACTTTAACTTCTTAAATTGAGCAGATTCAATTATCCTAATTTATATCCTAATAAAACTGGCTTTGTGAGTGTTTCAGTCACTGGGGAACGGATAAGGTTTGGGCAGAGCCATCTCAGAGCTCTGGCTGCCTTGGGTCATGTCACAGTTATGCACACTTGGTATGTTCTTCTGGCTATCAAATCCAAACCAGCGCTTCTCAGGAATGCACAGATGTTTCTCAGGATGTATTAATTCCATGACTAAAATGTCAGCTTTCTATTTGCTTGCATTTCTACTGCAGATCAGATTGAGCTTTCAGAATTGTATTTCAAATACAATACAGAGAAAAATTTGTTGCATGTATTTAATCTCCATGGGCTCTTGAGAAAGCTGCTCTAGTAAAACCATTAAGCAGATGCTGGATCGAAGCCTAAAACACAAAATAACTTCTTTTTTGACACTTCTAAGAAACATTTGATTCCTGGCAGGGTCTAAACTTGACAAAATTTAGCCATTACAACCAAAGTTATGAATTATGGAAAGCAAGAAATAGAAAAGCATGAGAACCATCACATAACCTATCACATGACTGATACTGCTGCTGCCTCCAATGCAAACACAAGAACAAGACAAATCATACAGATCCACACAAACTATCTTACCCAAAGGATTCGCATACTTCAAGATGGATGCAAAATCTTTTTTCTGGACTTTTGGGAGGCTTTTGATATAGTTTTTTGCCTTAAAAGAAACATGGATATTAAATTAGACCTTTGCCACCTTTGTAATGTGACATTAACTATCTGCTTAATAGGTAACTTTGTTTTTTAAATCAAGCCTTAAAATTGTGATTAAGAAATTATAATATAAAGCTTTAATTATTAGTGCTGTGTATTTAATAAATTAATTAGAATAAATATGCATGCATCACTTGAAAGAATGTCATAGTGAGTTTGCAGGAACGTAAACCTTATATAATAATTCATTTTTGAACCTTATATAGTAATTCATTAGTATTTAAACTGTATAGTTAGTCTAATGAATAATTTTAGGTTCTTTATAGTAGGGGCATAACGATTCTAGAAGGACATCCACACAAGAACAGGATGTAAAGTAAAATTAAGACATGTAAAGCCAACTGACAAAGCAGAATACTCACATCTTGACTGTGCAGTTTTTGAACAAAATCTTGAGCTGGTGTACCTGTTATTTTCATTATTTCTGTGAGTTGGTCCAGATCTGAATACCAGAAATAAGGAGCAAAATTTTTCACCACAAGAAAACTAAGCACCCTGCAAAAATTGTGGGTTTCTTTGCTATTGGAGAATAAAGCAAAAAAATCACAATGCAATGACTGAACAGAAGATTTTCAAAAGATGAGATAAAAGTTCTCCATTTTTCTTGCAAAAGGGAAAGACACTGAAAGCACCTGAAATAAAATATCCTATAACTTGGGAACGCATAATGGAATCATCTGCAAATTCCTCTAATATCATCAGGCCTCTTCCATATTTTTGGTCATAATCAGTCCAAAAGTATTGGAGTATCTGAACAATCAACACATGCATTGCATGCATCGCCCTGGTCTATCCAATACTTAGGTGACGTAGATTCAGGAAGAGTCACAGGGAACATCAGGTGTTATGATAAACAGAGCAAAAATCAGAGGAAATCAGTCTGTGTTAGTTCTTCTCCACACTGAGAAACTTCAAGAGGAAAAAAATTAATCCCTCTCCTCCTCATTTCCCACATGCTTAGCTGGATTCCAGATGCTGAGATGTTGGAGACACTGGGGTGAGCCATCAGAACACTCCCTAATCTTCTGTGTCCTAAACCAGCACAGATTAATCAGCAACAATATTAGCTGTTTCAAAGAAGAAACACCATATTTACAGGAGGCTAATGCTGCAGAGAACAGCTCTATGACTCATTTGCTACTCTGGTAAGAGCAGCAGATGAGAAGCTAGAAGCTAGATCAGAGCTCAGGGCACAGTAGGATTCCACCAACCTCTGCAGAGAAAGTGGGTAATGCTGATGAAATAAATAAATAAATAAATAAAATCCCATACCAAGTTTGCAGGACAACCTATTCATAATACTAAACCAAAAATCTCTTAAGTTAGCTGTTTTCTTATCCACCTACCCACAGCTGAAAGCACAGCTGCATTTCCCTGATGATAGGTAATACTGATTCACATACTCAAAGGCCAGCAAGGACTATTATGCTGGGGTAATCATCTCCTTCATAACACAGGACGTAGAACTTCAGCCAATAGTTCTGAAATCTCCAAAACCCAGTATGACTAAAATATTAGCTTTTCCACTCTTACATTTGCAGTACAACTTCAAAATTATGACTCATTCATTTTCTTATTTATGCACCAGAATGCTCAAGGTTTGCATTAGTTGAGAAATGCTGTGTGTTAGTCAACAGCTGTTCTTTGGCAGGCCTTTTAGTATTTTCTTCTTAAGAACTAATGTGTAATTAAAATCTGTACAGCTGAAATAATTTGATGTATTCTCCTTTTCCATAGTCCTGTCATTTTTTTGGTGAATGCAATCTCCCTTTTTTATATTTTTCCTGACAAAACGAGAATAATATGATCCATGCAATGAAGTCCTTACATGTAAGTACTTTAATACAAATATAGCTAAAATTAAACAATTGTGATTCTGTAAACAAGTATTTGCAGATAAGCAATTTATTGACTGGAACTCCACAAGGGGAAAAGCAGTGCAAAATGATTAGGCTGAGCTGTCAAACAGAAAAAAAAAAGTAAAAAAATTCTTACTGTAGTCTATATCAACAGTGTCGTCTATTAACCATCACAACTACTACTGCCAATGAAGTATCACTTGAGACTGAATTATGGCTTAATTGTAACTATTTTCTTAATTTCTCAGAAATGAAATGATAGGACTAGATGTTTTCTGTAAATCTAAAACATTTTACTAGATGTTACTTGCATAACATTTTTTAGTAAAAGTCTCAAAAAGCATGAAATGGACATGCATGTGTGCCTAAGTCCGTATACTACAGCAGAATCTTCTGTGCGTGTTCTGGAATTGTGGAGTCTATTATTAAAAAAAGTAAAATCAAAATATGCCTTTTCTATCATCACAGAACCTTTTACCTGATCATTTGAGATGTGATTCAAAGATCACCTCTCTTTACTGAAAAAGTTCAGTAATACAGGTTTTAAATGGCAGATGTGCAAAAGTGGTACAGGTATCAAATAATCAATTAATGAGAAAGGTGCAAGCCATTTGACTATTCATTTCAATTTATGCTCATCAGTTTTTGAACAGACCTACGGCATCACCTAAGAACATCGCATCATTTTCTTACATTAGTGTCATAAATTCACTGAAGGATACGATCATTTCCTTTGAACAGAGGCCTCCCTGTTATCATCTCAGCCATTATACAGCCCACAGACCAGATGTCAACTGAAAAAAAGATGAATAGTCACATTAAATTGCTGAATATTTGTCCACTGAAATACATACAAAGTTTAATTTAAAACATATTTTAAAGAAGTGTAAAATTTACTTTTATAGCCTGTTAGAAAATAAATGAGTGCCTTGCCAAGCATGATGAACAGTATAGGTAAAACTACCTTTTCTAATTAGCAAACTGCAGATAATCTAGTAATACAGACAATCAGTTTCTCAGTAACAGGCAGATGCATGTGGGAAGTAAATTTTCAATGCTTTCAAAAACTTCATAGTTATCCCAGAGTTACTTGAATTCCATCCTTCTGCGACTTTCCCCTGTCTGTTCACGTTACAATCAGCACATCTTTGCAGGAAGATGATGGTCAGTGCAGAACACAAGAACACAGACCAGACTCTCACATCTGTATACATTTATATCACTTTTTTTCCAACCACCGTGGCACTTTCCGTTACTCTCAGAAAATATACAAAAAAGCCCCCAAACTCACAACCACCAAACAACTACCTGCAATTTATCTACAACAAAGTTTTGCATAATTATATTGTCATTTCCACCTCCAATTTTTCATTCACTTCAGAAACAAAGATTTGCTTATACATTGCCTGATTCAGTGAATGCTTTAGCTCTGTTAAGACTTTTCTGGAGAGATGCTGACCTGTTTGTGTGTAATGCATCCAGTTAAGTATGACCTCTGGGGCTCTGTACCACCTTGTAACCACGTAACCGGTCATCTCACTGTCTGTATGCCTCGCCAATCCAAAATCCAGAATCTGTAGTGGAAGCACAAAGAACATCCCGATCAGACAGCTAGTTATCTATTTCATACAGACTTTACAAATGTGGAAAATAAAAGAATTGGAGCAATCTGCAGAGACTGGTTTATTTTTGCATCTTTTTCTCACTGAAGTGTCTTGTTCTCATTTTAAAAATCAAGACAGAAGTAGCAAGGAGTTTTATAATTTTTTTTTCCAAGTTAGATACTCCTATAGCAACACTAAAAGCTGCAAAAGCAGTAAAGAAAATAATAAATTCTTCAATTATTAATTAAAAAGACACTGGTCACATTCAATGCAAAAAATTCCCTGGCCATGGAATTACTATCATATCATGTTAGGGCTAAAACAACAGCACCCATCTTAGAGGGTATTCATTGCTCTCATATCCCAGGTGGGACAATTATTCAAGAGTGTGTTCCAATAACATTCTGAAGCAAGGAGGTATCATTACTTCTATTTTATGAGTAACTCATACAAAGGAAGGCTTCCTCTAAGTCATATTGAAAATCTGCAACGAGAGGAGGGAATTACCCTTATTTAGTCTCACTGAGTTTTCTCCAACCTACTGCATCAACCACAGAAAAACCCTCTATAAGGAATGCAAGTTCAGTGCAATATTTTTAAAGGATTATGCACAATTCAGTTTATTTCTAAGACTCTCAGATATTTATCTCTAGATACAGCAATATGTACAGCAGCAAGATTAAAAATGAACATTACGGCCTTTTGTCAACTTCTACAAAATTTGCCTCATAAGGGATACCTGCATGGAGCATCAAAAGATGGTGCCAAAAGGTGCCGCCAACAGCAAGAAAATTCCATTCCTGGAATGACAGTCAGTTTGTCTGAATCAGGAAGATCATGCTTCTAACAAGAAGCAGGGGGCTTGGGTAAGTTAAGTATATTCAAGAGAAATCATCATCATCCACAGATACGTGACTATGTAGCTTTGCATGAACAGTCACTAGTTTCCATGGGTATCAGGCCTCAGATATATATTGACAGGGCAGAAGTTTTTACTAGGAGCACCTGTGCATTACTATAGCAAGAGTGATGGTTTTGTAATGCTCTCTATAATTAAACATTTTAAAATGTTTCAGGATAGTATCATCATTCCCTGGCAAACATTTTAAAGTATTTCAGGATAGTTTCATCATTCGCTGGCCCTAACAGAAAGGAAAATTATATTTTCATTCATAGATCAAGAGTATAAAATGTTATGGTTTATCTTTATTGCCATACTTGAAACATCATTTCCATGTTTTCTCCATACCTGCTGATTACCTACAACTGCTGATTTAAAAACAAGAATAGGATGCAAAGGGAGAGATTTTTATTCTTACCAACAAAATGCACTTGATTACAGCCAATTCTTTGGCTATTGTCAATTTACTGGACTCAAAATATTTGCAATAGCAAAATACAGCTATTTTATATACAGCTTTCAAATTTATTTTACATATACAGCACCCATTATGTTTTCCCAGCAATACGGTGG